TGTAATAAAATTATGTTGACCATTTTTGTTTCTGAGCTTAAATTAAATACCGCCGAAAGTTGCTGACACACGGCAGACATCAGCCTTCTGCCCGCGCAAACCACCTCACATACCAATAATCCCAATAATGAATTCCACAAATTGTTGAAGCTAAAACAATAATTTTGTCAAAATTAACCTGGTGACTCATTGGATTTTTTCATGATTTTTAAGGACAGGTAGTCGTCTCAGAATCACGCGAAATATTCAGAATAGCCGTTTGTAAACACTAGAATCTTCTCTTTGACACTGGTGGTATTTTGTACACGTTACATAACTACGATGTCAATTCTCGCCCTACGGACGGAGAAGTCAAGATTTCTAGTTCAAATTTATGTTCTGTAGTGAAGGTTAGTAAGCAATCAGTAAGAAAATGAATGAGGGAATGCCGCGGTCCTCATAGGGGCAATTTCCTTATGGGATTTACTTATGAGCAAGCAGACAGCATGCCCCGCATGCCTAGTGTGGCTTATGCTTTGAGGAGGGTGGGGGGCAATGCACTGTGGGTAGAATGGTAATTCACGCATGCGCACTTCAGTTTACGGTTGGAGTCGGGCAGAAAATGGCGTCGGCGAACTTCTTGGAGGAAGCTCTGAGTACAGACGTCGACGAATCGGCTGTCAGTGCAATAGTAGGGTCGTTGGAAAATAACTTAGTTACCTCTACTTCTACTTCATCCAGTGCCTCAGGGACGATCACCACAGGCGCTAAGAATCATGTGAACAGTGCCATTTCTAACGGGGCCCCAGTTTCGTCTGAGAAACAAAGTTCGAGTCCGGTAGCGGGATCAGTGAACAATATCGTACTGAATGATGCAAGCAAAATAAACACAATACAGACCTCTAATCTGGGTCAACTTAAAGTAATAGCTTCTGTACCAGGTGAAGTGACAAGTAGGCCCAACTTTGTTAACCAGGTTACTTCAAGCGTAGGCCTAACCCAAACCACTTTAGCAAATTTGACCAAAGGGCAGGAATCAGTGCGTATTTTGATCCCCACATCAAGCCAAGCTTCTGGTGGAATGAACATAAACAATGCAAGACTGCCTCTTACAACTCAACATGTTGGTGCTTTGCAGAATGGGAGTGTCGCCTTGACGTCTCTTCCATCACAGACTGTGGTGAACCCAGCTACGACTGTTGTTTCTCAGCATCAACTCTCTTCTAGTGCCAATGTGACTAAACAGATAACTCAGAGTGTTCTCAATGCATTGGATCCCTCTAAACCTGGAGGTGCTGCTGTAGTGATAAAGACAAGTGGTAACCAGTTGGCACCTCAGGCTTCAATCGCTTCGGCGGTTATGCCTGTGCCAATGTCAGTAAACAGTTCAGTGCCAATGACGGCAACAAGCATAAATAATGTGGTGTCTATGGGAACTGCGACAACAAGTGGAACTTCAGTGGTTACACTCGCCAAACCACTCACTCAATCAGTTGCTACAATTGGATCACAAGGCAATGTGATTTCTGGCAACGTACAAATATTAAATATGAATGCTCTTCGGCCAATGACACCAGGTATTGGTGGTCAGAAGGGTCCCTTAAGAGTAGTGAGTGGAAGCCCCCTTGTGAGAGGAGGAGGAGTTCAAGGGGTAAGCTGTCCTACATAATAGCAAATTGTGACATTTTATTCGATGTGTACTCCAAGCAATATTATAATTCTTTTAAAGAAAATGTACTTCTGTCATTATAAAAAAAAGAAAATTTATAGATATTGACCACTTGGCATTTTTTGACACTAATCATTTTGTTAAAAATAAATTTGCTGAAAAATTATATGTGCTGTTAGAGCTTGCTATGAAATATCTTCGCCTGGAAGTTAAACAAATGTTTAGTATAATTTTACAAAGTATTGCTTGGTGTATGAGACTCATAATTTAGTTTTTTGGAACTTATTTCTACAGTATCTATTCTCATACTTATGCACTCTTCTTGTAGCAAATTACTCTTCAAGCGTTACAGTCCTTATCACCTGGGACTCAAAATCTTTTAATTAAGACTGATAATGGGTTTCAATTAGTACGGGTGGGCCCTGGGACTGGCGCAGCCGCCCTTGCGTCTGGTAATGCAAATACAACTCAAACGCTTCGCTTACAGTCATTTCCCACAGTAAGTACACTTTAAAATTTTGTACCATTTTGTATTTGTTTACATTTGTAATACAATTGTAATTTGTTTTTTATTTTTGCAGCTTAGTTCCGTATCGCTAGCTTCATCAGGTACATCAACGGCTACAACAGTTACTGCAAACACTATTACAACTCAGGTCCCTGTCCCTGCTCTGTCAACTCCAACTACTGTAACTCCAGCAGTTACACCAACACCTCCAGCAACACCTCAACCTGCTCAGGTATGATATTTGACTAGTACCTGGTTGTTTATCAAGATAAACTCCTATGCTTATTAAAGTACACTTACATTCCTCATTTGTTATCTTACAAAATCTATCAATTATTCCAGCCTCGCCCTGCTCAAGTTGATACCACAAAGGAAAAATGTCGAAAATTCTTAGCTAATTTGTTAGAGCTTTCAAGCCGTGAACCAAAATCAGTTGAAAGAAATGTGCGATCACTCATTCAAGAGCTGGTGGATTGCAAAGTCGAACCTGAGGAGTTTTGTGAAAGACTGGAAAGGCTTCTGAATGCTTCACCTCAACCATGTTTGATAGGTTTCCTCAAGGTACACATTTTTAAATTACGAAAGTGAATATAAGTTATGTGCGGTAAATTATCTACGTGTTGCTTATTCTTTATATTATATGTTTACAGAAAAGTCTTCCTCTACTGAGACAAGCAATGGTAACCAAAGAACTGGTGATAGATGGTATACGTCCTCCACCAGCCAGTGTTATGTTCACAACTGTTGTAGCATCTACTGTTCCTACGTCCACAGTTTCCTGTCCTCCTCTTCAGGTATTTTGCTAGAAGTCACCAGAAATCTTGTCTTCTAATCTCAATTAGTGCAACCTCATTTATAATATTTTTATGTTTCAGGTTACCCAATTGAAGCCTGGTGGTTTAACAACTCAGACTGTAAGAGTAGTAACCCCAGGAAATGCTGGAACAGCTACAAGTGTTGCACCTACTATAATTGGGGGAGTTCAAGGACCTCGCCATGTATTTCCCCATCGACTTGTCACGGTAAGATTTTACAAATAGTATCTATCTACTTAATCGTAGAAATAGAACGAGGGGAAAGCAATCACACCACCCTACATTTTTCTACTCAACCTTCCTTTTTAGACAAGTGTAATATTTATTTTCTCCTTTCCTTCCTCCTCTCTTTTCTTCCCTCTTTCCCCCTTTCTCTTCTTCTAAAATCCCCTTTCTTAAAACCCACATAGTTTGCCCCTGTAGAATATCTTTCTGATAACTTACCCTCAAATTAATTTGAGGTGCATCTTGCATTTATCCTTTCTCTCTTTTTAAACAATCATTCATTCAATTGTTGGAGTTTGAAAATATATTATCACAGCTTAAAATAACAATTTTTTTTTTGTAAATTTAAACTGCTAAAATAAATGTTTGTATTTATCACCTGCATTCATACCTAAGTGGTCTGTGAATGGAGTTATGCTGTTGCTTATGCATGTACAGTGAAACCCTCATATAACAGATTTAGGAGTCCGGCGCTGGATGAAAACAGGAAATTGTTATAAGTGGGTTTTACTGTATACATCCAATTGCATTTAAGTGTGAACTTTCACTGGCTGGTTTCTTGTGCTTGGCAAATTTCTTATTCTTGGCAAATGTTTGTTACTTGTTCTTAGAACAGAAATCTGAGCTTCCTATGTTTCTAGATATAATATAACAGTCACTGAAAAATCATTTACCTGCTACTGATATGCTTGCTTCATTGCACTCTTTGCATTATGGTGTGTGATTGTCCAAGGTTTGGGGGAAAAGGTTTTTGCTAGAGGAATGAAATTGGGGAAGTTCTGAGGGGTTTCAATGTCACAATTGAATAATGTGCTTTTTGAACTGTGGGTAAAAATGTTTTGCATTAGATCCCAAACTGTCTAAGTTAAACATTGCATTTTTGCAGAAAGAAATCAACACATCTAGCACATAACATCAGCTAGCTTGTACTGTATGTTCCTATTGCTAACCAATATGCAAATGAACTTTTACTTTCCCCTTTGTTTTTAAATGAAGGCTTCTAGGTATCTAATACTACATTATTATTCTATTTAAGATGTAAAAGTAAAATTTCCCAAACTGCCTTTACATAAGCATTTGAGCCATTCTTCATTTTCTCTCTTTTTTGCCTAAATTATTATCATTAGTATTATTATTATTATTTGCAAGGAGGCAGTTTTTCAATTGCTTCTCTTTTCCTTACCCGCTCTTTGCATGCTATGCCAACAGCCACTCCAATTTGTGACACCTGGCTTAACTGGAACTGTGAACAAAGTGTTTACACATTCGGTGATGACACCACAGGTGCCCATCACCACATCTGCACCAGGAATCGTCTCCCAGTCGGTGTCAACTGCTGGTGTTGTGACTACGCATCCATCTCCTGTGGCCTCTCCAAGTCCTGGTTCAACTTTTACTACTGTATCGGGCTCCACTCCGGTACTGTTTCGACCTGGCACCCCAGGCACGATTCAAGTTCCTCGTGCGTTGATGCCAATTCGGCAAACAACTCCAATACGTCCACAAAATCGACCTCTTTCCCCTGTTATAAGGACTACTACTCCAATTAGAACTACCACCCCACTACTAAATAAGACTACAACTATTGCATCAAAAGTACCTCCTAAATTAACTGCAGCTCAGTTGCGAATGCAAGGAAAAACCATAACTGGTCCTGTTGTTACATTAGGAGCTAATTCAATTGTTTCCTCATCGGACTTAGTGAACAGTGGAACAGCATCAACAGTGTTGACAAACATGTCTGCAACAAATCCAGCTGTTATACAGTCTGACAATAGTTCAATTACTGCCCCTAATGTGTCATCAATTGCAATTCCTGGGGGAGCAGTATCAACTCCCGTTATAAGTACAGCGCTGGCTGCGTCTGTTATATCTGGGTCAACAACAGGCACAGTATTCTCGTCCAACCTTAAAACAGCATTTAAAGATAAAGATAAAAAAGTTATTATAGCTTCGTCCATGGCAGCATCAAATGCAGCTGCCGCTGCTGCTGCAGCGGCAGCAGCTGCAGCCTCCTCCTCATCTAACTCCGCTCTGTACACGTAAGTACTTTCATTGAAGGACCTTCGTATTTATGACGAAGTCGTATTGTGAAGGCATACTAATAACCAACAACTCCTTTTCTCACAGAGGAGATGATGACATAAATGATGTTGCTGCTATGGGTGGTGTTAATATAATTGAGGAGACCCAAAGAATATTGGGATCCACAGAATTTGTGGGAACACAAATCCGGTCATGTAAAGATGACATATTCTTACATGGAGCTACATTGCAGCACAAAATTAAAAATATTGGTGAGAACTTTTATTTGATTAATCACACTGTAGAACAAGGAACATAAATTATGATTTGTTTTGATTCATTTATCTTTTTTTGCAGCTAGTGAAAAGGGTCTTGAGGAACCAAGTGCAGATGTTGCTGCCCTTATTTCACATGCCACCCAAGAAAGGTTAAAAAATTTTGTGGAAAAGTTAGCTGTTATTGCAGAACATAGAATGGATATCATTAAAGTAAGCTTCACTCCCCCTCTAACATTTTCAATTGTTCTCAAAACTTTTAATCTAATCAACAATTTTATTTTTCTCTTTGTGATAGATTGACCCAAGATATGAAATATCTCAAGATGTAAAAGGACAACTTAAATTTTTAGAAGAATTAGACAGAATGGAACGCAAAAGAAATGAAGAAAAAGAACGTGAGCTTTTATTAAGAGCAGCCAAGAGTCGGTCGAAGAGTGAAGATCCAGAACAAGCAAAATTAAAAGCAAAGGCCAAAGAGGTCTGATTTTGTCAAATACTTTTTAATCTATTATCCATCCATCCTTAAGATTCAACAATGGTGTCATTTTGATGGTGCATGGTCATATGTATAATGTATCTAATAATGTAATTGTTTTACAGATGCAAAGAGCAGAAATGGAAGAGGTACGGCAGAGAGAAGCAAACATGACGGCTTTGCAAGCTATTGGCCCAAGAAAAAAACCTCGTCTTGATGGAGCACTAAGTGATGGGGGTACAACTGCCCCTGTAAGTATAGAGCAATCATCCTTATAGCAATAAACATTCACACTTCTGTGATTAAGATTTTAATTGGGAGCTAATGGATATTTTATCTCTTGTCGTAGGGTAATGGAACTTCTTCTACTAGTAATGGCAATGTATCTGGTAGACCTCAGGTGAGAATTTTGACTTGTCATACCTAATTGCCATTTTAATTGTAATACTTTTATTTAAAAAAAAAAGACAATTGTGTCTAATTTATTGGTATCTATTTTCAGCTTCCCAGCCGACCTAGACTAAAAAGAGTTAATATCAGAGATCTGGTGTTTTTACTTGAACAAGAGAAGGAATCAAGTAGATCAACATTTTTATACAAAGCTTATTTAAAATAATAGTTAGAAAGGATTATTTCCTGTGTTTATCTTCATTTTACGTGCAGATTATCCTTTGTGTTAGCCTTGTGACACATTGTGGAGTTACAATTTGGAATACTTATTTCCCAGCAATCTCTCAACCCACGTCCTAGTCCACCATAGTTAAAATATGCATGTAGGTTGCTGGAAATTTAAAAATTGTATCCATTGTGGTTGTGTCAACTACATCTAGTTGGTTTCTCCATGTATTCGGGACCACTCACTCTTAAGTTATGTGATAACAAGCCTCACGAGGTAGGGAAAATGAAAGCAAATAAAATTTGACTTTAGAAGATCCACTGTTTATTGTACGTAACTGGTAGCCAGTTAGTGTTCTGAAAGAAATAACAGAGCTTAAAGGTGTTTTTCTTTTTGCTAAGCAGAAAATATTATTGCTACTTGAATTGCCCCATCACAATGATATGGACTTAAATTCATTTCAGGATTCATCTGATGCTACTTAATTACTTTCTAAATGGAGCTGCACTGACAAAACAAAAACCCTCTTAGGTATTCACGTATTCATTTTTGCTTTGCTCTCCTCTCTCATATTACTTTTCTATTAACTGTTCACTTTTTGTACTGCTGTTCCTGTCTGGTCTGGTTTAGGAATTAGTTTAGCTCAAGTTCCACCTGTGTTCTGTAAACTTCAAAGAACATAATGGTATTAAACTCAGGAACATAAATGTTAGTTACATGTGTATTCTTAAGGAAAATTGCATAATGTAGTTTTGTCGTACAGTTTAGTGGCATGTGATTGCTCCTATGTTACAGTTCATATTGGCCGTTATTTACTTGTTCAACTGTAAACGTCATTGTCTATTGCTTGTCCTGTTTTGCTTTTCTTTACTGGGAAAGTTTTGTTATGGCTTGTGGCTAGGTGATTGAAACTATTTTATGCATGTACAGCTTACTACAGGAAATGTTTGATTTTCTTTTTTCTCTCCTAAATTGTCAACCTTTTTCTGATAAAAGACTAACATAGATTTTGCGGATTTATGTTTGCCCCCAGGTGTTAAAAAGCCTCTATTACCCTCACTAATTATCTGGCCGGTCTCTTGTTTGACTTAGGTATGTACAGCACCAACTTTCTGGTTAACCCTCCTTTAAACTTTTTAATTAATTTAAATATTTTTGATAAAATTTTGTTCACTTTTTGTCAAAGCTAAGCTAACAGTCCCACTTACTTTAACTCATCAGATCTTTGTCCTTGTGGAAGTGATTGCTCTCAACAAGAAAACTTTGTAGGATTTCTCTGAGCAATAAAGTAGGTGAAATGTTTTCTCCATTGATCATTATTGAGATGAGCTTGCTGTAAGACTAATGTTTTTCGATACATTTTCTACACTATATTGAAAATAGTTTGTAAGTCTTATAACTAGCAAATCACTGGGCGTCCAATTTTTAAAATTTGTCTGATTTTGAAGGGTTTTTTCTAAATTTTCTAACTGTTAAAATTTTGTATCGTCATTCTTCATCTACCACAAGCCATTTGTTATGTTTTTCTTTGTGTGTGTTTAATATAATACAAACTATTGTAGGATAAAACCGGCTTCCATTTTGAATCTTAGTTGTCTCAGAGGCTTATAGGTTTCCTCAAAATATACTAGTCTTTATGGTCATCAAATACGTAGGCAGCATTAATGTTCGTTCAGGTCATACCATTTGAGTCTTTGTTCATCAAATGGATTAATTTAGCTCAATGGATTTTGTAAATAAGAAATTATACAACGTTTAAAACCACAGTTCTGAAAATTTTGTACATACAGTATTTGTATACTTGTTTCCTAAAGTGAGTACCTTTTTGTGTTGTTTTAACATTATTCATAATTTATATTCTTCTGCATCTTAAAGATAACTTACACTCACTTGTTTACACCCTAGCTGACAAGTACACATGTATGCCTTGTCCTGGAAATGCACATTGCACCTATTTGTTAACTATATGTTCAGTCATTTGTTAGCAAGTTGAGGCTTCTAACATCAACTTTTCCAATCTAAGCTTCCATTTGGTTTTCCTATGATGTGTGTTCAGAAACCATAAGGTTTATTGTTGTTTTATATGTTCATATGATTGCTTTGTACACATACAAAATTACTGGCTGTACATAATTAATTTCATAAAGGCGTTTTGCATTGCAGCCTGTTTTATTTCAAATTAGTGATCATTATTTGTTGTTTTTTCCCTGTATATTATTCTTCCCAGAAATGTTATTTTAAGTGGGTTTACTTGTTTGTAAGGTAAAATTTGAGACTGTTCTGTTTGTACTTGTGGGGAGATGAACGGTGTATCAATCTATTCTGACCCTCTTTTTCTTTCTTCTTTTTTTTTGTGAATGTGTTAAAATGGTCTGGAAAGGTGCCCAACCAAATTAAAATTATAGACAGTGAGGGAATATTGATGGTCCTATGATTTAACTGTTATTTTGTGTTATTGTATGTTCTCAGTGAGGTGAATATGTTGGTTTTTATTGTATTGTTGGTTGTCCCTTTGTTTTTTGATGTAATACCTCTATACCTGGACATGGATGCACAAAAAATGCCTAGTTATGTATGTTCCATACATATTGTGGCCCTGTGAACTTGTGTCTATTTCCATAGTTACAGTAGTCTTGTTAATCTTAATTCTTGCCAAGTATCAGTGTGAAGTGAAAAGGTTCATATCCATTTTTGTCTTTGTAGGTTTCATCTAGTTTAAGGTCACAAGTCCAGGTGCTTACTGGGAGGGCAAACTGTCACTGCAAACTTTAGACCCATGCCATGTCACATATGTGCGCTGTTTGTTGTCATTATTTCAGTCATACATTTTATGTTTTTAATTTAAATTATCTACTATGTAGATAAGACTTAGTGACCCTTATCGGGTGTAATTTTATGGACGTTCTCAATTCCACCTGTCTTGTTGAACCTGTTAAAAAAATTTCAATCGCCTCTTCTTATTGTATCCTTATCTATTAAAGTCCCCCTCCCCCTTTCCCCCCTTTTTGATATAGGTGATTCTGCAGTCTTTCTCTCTGTGAAATTTGTATATCTCTAGTGGTGCAAATGGAAAAAAATTTAGGAATACCCGTCATATGCATACAGTTGTAAACATAGTATATATTTTTTTTACTTTTTTATGTTTGTTGACAACCATTGATGTGAAAGGTATGGTATCTGTGATGTTTACCTCCTGTGCCCACTTTATGCAAGAAAATATATTTATATATATTGAAGGCTGTGCCAAATTCTACTGAAAGATTGAAATTAAATAGTAGATCAGGTGCCAGTTGAAAACAGTTCCTGTGTTTTGTCATTCCTTCCCTCTGAGGACCCAGACCTTTGATGGAGCAGGCTGCCGCACGTTTCTGGAGAGAGAGAGAGAGTGGACGTACTACTCAAGCTGGCCTTCCCTCCTCCCCACCCGCCCCCGCCCTGGTCAGCCAGCCGCCTTCGGATTCATCCCCAGGGGCTGCGATGCACCGGCCGGTCATTCCCGGGGAGCTCTTCCGAGAATTGGTGGGTCGAGCCCGTGCATGTGCTCAAGGCACGAAGAAGGGAACCACCACCACCACCATCACCACCACCACCACCCCCCACCCCATCGGCTACGCTCGGAAAAGCCAGAGTCCAGTCCAGCCACCATCCTCCTGCCGCTGCTGCTGCCGCAGCCCCGGACGCAGCCCCGGCCGGTAAGGCTTGCAGATGAGCCGGTATGAATCAGAGTGATTCAGTTCGTTCCCCAGCGGAGCCATCCCTATCTCCGTCTCCTGGGGCTTTGTGTCTGCCCGACCCTCCGCCCACCACTACTGACCGTCGTGCATCTGCGAGTGAATATTGGATAAGTTCTAAGGTCTCCTCTGACACTCGGGCTCGGCCCGGCCGCGCCTTGCGCCCAGCGGTGGTCTACCATGGTCACCAACTCCTTGACTACTACTGCTGTGAAGTTTTACTCTTAGTCACAAATCACTTCTTCTGGTGTTGTAAACTAAGTTCTTTCAGTGTTGTGACATGATTCGTAGAACACGTTTACTCCAAACCCAACCCAAGCCCAGACAGGACGCTGTCTGTTCATTCGACGTAGGTTTAATTAGAAGTAGTAGCTATGACGTCCAAATACGTTCCTCATAACTAGCAAGATTGATATAATCTCGACGTGAAAAAACATAATTGTCCCCTCCCCCTCTCTGGTTTAAAAAACAAACGATAAAAAACAACTTGAAGCTGAGTTCCAACACCAAATAGCCATGCTGTAGGCTCAGAAGCGCCGCGAAAGATGACGCCCCGCCGCACGCCAGGAAAACGCCAGCAAGCGCGCCAACACGACTACGAGCACGGGCGGGGGTTAATAGGCACTCAATTCATCATGCAGATACCAAATTTGCATTAGGCGAATCACAGCCCATACAACCCTCTCTCTCCCCCTGCACCCTCACAGCGGGCGGCCCCGCCCCGCCCCGCCCTGCAGGGGGCCAAGTGTGGAGGGTGACCCGGACAATCTGCATGGGGCGTGGCCAGGCGCGCGGTGCGGCGGCGTGGCAAAGGACTGCAGCATCGCGCTCACAGGGGCACTTCAACGGAATGGCGGCGGCGTGCTGCTGGGGTGGGTGGGTG